GAGGGGGCCCCCTTCCAAGTCCAGCTTGCCCCGACAATATGAGCAGCAGTGAAATAAAAATAGAGCCATAGGATTAAAGTAGACTTATTTGTTCATCACTTGTGTGGTCATCCAGAAAATAGGTGGTACATGGAGTACTTCAGGCCCTCACTGTTTTATCTTTACGGGGAGGAGCTGTCTTGATTGATCATTTCTGTTTCACGGGATAAGAACTAAAGCTGGCAGAATCTAAGTCAATCATTTAGATAAAGAACACAAAACAAATGGTGGCTGCTGCTATTGCCAGGGATTTGGCTCAAAAGTTTGAGTTCCAAGCTTAGTTTCTTAGTCGGAAAACTGTCCACAACAGAGTGGAGGCTGCATCGATACAAGGTTTAGTACCGTAGCCACCCCCATGGGCCCCAAAGCCCCCTTCATCTCCTCTTCCTCCACCCCGACCACACTGCCCACTCTCAAACTCCATCACCGGTCCCCTTGGAATGTGGCTTCTTCCATACCAACCTGTGTCCCGCTGACTTCAGACTTGGGCCTCCATTTCTGGGATTTCTGGGTAAAGATGACAACCTTCCCCGTGTGCTGGTGTCGAGGGGCCCCCAGGACCAGGCTGTAGACCCCCTTCCAAAAGGCCAGCGCGGTGGAGTAACCTGAGGGGTCCAGACCTCAGCACCAAGGCTCTTCCTGTCTTTGGGCAGCTCTTCTCGGCCCCTTCTCCTCCCACAGCCTCTTCTTACCCAGGTAAGCATCCCTCATGTCCACATTCTCCTCAGACATGTTGATGAAGGTAGGTCTCGTATTTGGAGGGTATAAGAAGGCACCTCCAGACCAGCTGAAGCTTCCCACAGCTCCCAGAACTGGTCCATCCTAGGAGGAAAGGATCCCAGGGCTGAGCAGGCTGGAGCAGGATACCAGTCTGATCCAAAGAAGCTGCCACCAAACACCATCTTGATTTTTCTTCTTCTTTAGTTTCCACTAGCTGTCTCTGCACCTTAACTCCTCAGTCTCCCGATGCATTGCCCTGGCCCTAGTCAGCCCTGCTACCTCTCTACCTGTTCTGCCTCTGAGCTTCCTGCCGCTCTGTTTCTACCTTCTCCCATCCCAGCATCAGGCCTCCTCAAACCCAATATGTAGGTGGCACTATGCTAGGAATCCATCCCCCTTCTCCTCCCACAGCCTCTTCTTACCCAGGTAAGCATCCCTCATGTCCACATTCTCCTCAGACATGTTGATGAAGGTAGGTCTCGTATTTGGAGGGTATAAGAAGGCACCTCCAGACCAGCTGAAGCTTCCCACAGCTCCCAGAACTGGTCCATCCTAGGAGGAAAGGATCCCAGGGCTGAGCAGGCTGGAGCAGGATACCAGTCTGATCCAAAGAAGCTGCCACCAAACACCATCTTGATTTTTCTTCTTCTTTAGTTTCCACTAGCTGTCTCTGCACCTTAACTCCTCAGTCTCCCGATGCATTGCCCTGGCCCTAGTCAGCCCTGCTACCTCTCTACCTGTTCTGCCTCTGAGCTTCCTGCCGCTCTGTTTCTACTTTCTCCCATCCCAGCATTAGGCCTCCTCAAACCCAATATGTAGGTGGCACTATGCTAGGAATCCATTACCCGTCCCCTTGGAATGTCATCTGGGACACTTCTCAGTTGAACCTGGGCAGTTAATCTCTGTTCCCAAACATAGGAGACCTTTGTCTTGACCACCTCTCAGCTCCTTTATGACAAAGGCAATCTTGTCACATCCTTGAGGTCTTTGTCAGTACCCTCAGGTAGCAATACTTTATGCTCCCTTGCATGCTTTATTTATCTTTATACTTTTAAACTTTTGATTGCAGAGAACGGTAGAGATATAGAAACACCAAAAGAAGTGTTTAATGACCCTCCAAGAAGGACCTTTGACATAGCGACAGTGTACCAGTTCAAACCCAGCATGATCATTTCTTCCAAGCTCTACTCAGCCCCAAATTACTAGAAAAAAATCTCTGTAGATGCTCTGGGCATACATCAGCTTTCAAACAAGTCCTGTTGCACCCTTTTCTCTCTGGTCCCTGTGGTCTGGGCCCTCCTAACCCTCCAGCTGCTCACTGTCCCCAACTCACTCTGCTCCTGCTGTGTCCACCCCTTATCTTTTCTTTTTCTATGTTACAAAGACCATCCTGGGCATACTACAGAATTATCCAGATTTGGCAATGGTGACACAGGTTCACAGTCCCAGCCTTTGGAGGCTGAAGGAGAGGAAGGAGCATGAATTCCAGCCTGGCTAGGCTACATTGTGAGATCTTGGACACACACACACACTCTCACACTGCCTCTTACACCTATCCCTTTATCTCTTACCCATGCCACTAACACCCCAGCTTTTTCCTCTAACCACAGTAATTGTTCTTCAGATTTCCCTAGGTCCCACCCTTCCTCATCACTGTCATCTGGATGTCTTCCTTTTTCTATCCCAATGCCCAGGGGAGTCGACAGTGAATGGCCTGTGGGTGATTGTTGATCAGGTGGTAGCCCTAACAATGCTTAAGCTTTGTTACGTACAGCTTAAGATGTACGTAACTGTGTACCCTCAACACTCAAGTCCAGAACATACCAAACACCTGACAAATATAATGCTAAAAATTACCCAATTGCCCAAGATTAGGAAAGGAATTCAACAAATCATAACTCAGCTTCTTCTGCTCCTTTGTTGAAAAGTAAAAGTCAAAACTATAGCAAAATATGGAACATGCTATAAATTTAAAGATTTTCTTTAAAAATAGAGGAAAATCTATGTTTGCCCTGTTGTGACCATATACCATCAGTCTGCAAAAAGGCAAGTGATAGAATTTGGACTGAGACAGGCAGGTGGAATTTATTGATTCATTTGAATGTACCACTTTTCATTCCTAATATTATATGTGGTGAATGTCTAGAGGGGTTATGGACAACCCTTAATCCTGTAATGTTCCCACTGTTTTGAGGCTTTTGAGTTGTTGTTTGACATAAGATCTTATGAATGACAAGCTGAACTGGTCTCAGGTAACCCAAGCAGATCTCAAAGTCAGCCTAGGATAACCTTGATCTTTTGATCCTCCTGTCTCCACCTCCCAAGTGCTAGGACTAGAGGGGTTCCACTCCTATTAAATGCTAAGACTAAGACACATCACCAGCCTTTCCATTTTGTCTTTTTAAAATGAAATGTCTTAAGGGAAAGACGGAAGAAGGGAAGGAGGTGGAGGTGGAAGAAGAGAAAAAAATTAACTCAGCACTGGAAAGAACCAACAGGGGATCTCTAAATTTCTGCCCATCTGTGATGACAATTAGGATCTTCTTGGCATTTTTGCGGGCCCCATTCTTGCTGTGAAATAGCTCTTCCCTGTCAGAGAATAAAGAGAGATGACTTTTGAGACATAAGTGATTCTGGGAAGACAATTTGCAAAGGCTGAAGCTCATCTGGATATGTTACAAAGACCATCCTGGGCATACTACAGAATTATCCAGATTTGGCAATGGTGACACAGGTTCACAGTCCCAGCCTTTGGAGGCTGAAGGAGACGAAGGAGCATGAATTCCAGCCTGGCTAGGCTACATTGTGAGATCTTGGACACACACACACACCCTCACACTGCCTCTTACACCTATCCCTTTATCTCTTACCCATGCCACTAACACCCCACCACACACACACACACTAAAAAGGGAAGAATGGAAGGAAAAGATTAAGGTCTCCCTTTTGGAGTGCTGTACTAGAAACACAGAAAATAGCAAAGGTGTTCATATTAGATATTTACTAAAGTCTCTCTACCACTGAACTTCATTTCCTAGGAGGCAGTATGGTTGGAGCAGGTTTGGGGTCAGATATCCTTTGTATGTGCAACCTAGCCTCTCTGAGCCTCCGGTTCTTTCAAGTAAAGTGATAGTGATTGTGCTGTAACCATGCTCTAAAAATGTCTCCAGATGGCTCTTCTCCCACAGAGAATCTGGCCTGCCCTGTGAGACACTTTTATCCATAGCAATGCAGCAGCTTGTTTTTGCATTGCCATCGCTCATCACAGATTTAGATGCATGGCTACACTTTTAAGCCACAGTGAGAGAATCCTGGGTGTATTTTAGAAGTACCAGCAACAGCCCATGGAAAGAGACCATGTGTAGACACAAGTCCAACTATCCCAGCTGAGCCCATTCTCTCCAGCCAGTCCTGAGTACTAGGTATATGAAGGAGCTCTCTGGGTTCTGACTATATAAAGGACATCTACAAAAACAGCTGGACCCACCACCCTCCCCTGGATTAGGAAAAAAGAGTGTATGTTGTTGAAGCCACCAGATTTGGTGACTGAATCAAATGGGGCTTGGTTATTGGAAAGATTCCATGACAGTGAATGGCCTGTGGGTGATTGTTGATCAGGTGGTAGCCCTAACAATGCTTAAGCTTTGTTACGTACAGCTTAAGATGTACGTAACTGTGTACCCTCAACACTCAAGTCCAGAACATACCAAACACCTGACAAATATAATGCTAAAAATTACCCAATTGCCCAAGATTAGGAAAGGAATTCAACAAATCATAACTCAGCTTCTTCTGCTCCTTTGTTGAAAAGTAAAAGTCAAAACTATAGCAAAATATGGAACATGCTATAAATTTAAAGATTTTCTTTAAAAATAGAGGAAAATCTATGTTTGCCCTGTTGTGACCATATACCATCAGTCTGCAAAAAGGCAAGTGATAGAATTTGGACTGAGACAGGCAGGTGGAATTTATTGATTCATTTGAATGTACCACTTTTCGTTCCTAATATTATATGTGGTGAATGTCTAGAGGGGTTATGGACAACCCTTAATCCTGTAATGTTCCCACTGTTTTGAGGCTTTTGAGTTGTTGTTTGACATAAGATCTTATGAATGACAAGCTGAACTGGTCTCAGGTAACCCAAGCAGATCTCAAAGTCAGCCTAGGATAACCTTGATCTTTTGATCCTCCTGTCTCCACCTCCCAAGTGCTAGGACTAGAGGGGTTCCACTCCTATTAAATGCTAAGACTAAGACACATCACCAGCCTTTCCATTTTGTCTTTTTAAAATGAAATGTCTTAAGGGAAAGAAGGAAGAAGGGAAGGAGGAGGAGGTGGAAGAAGAGAAGAAAATCAACTCAGCACTGGAAAGAACCAGGCAGTAGCTGAGTCCAGTACTAAGATGAGCTTGGCTCTGGGATGCAGGCTGTTGGAGAGATGCAGCACATTCTGGTATGTGCAGGGTGGGCCTGGAGTTGTGAACCAGTGGGAAAGCATTGAGTTCCTGAGGAAGGGCTCCAGGAGGGGGGCTTGTGTGGCTTCAAACCCTTCAGGGTTTCCATCTTGTGTTCAGGGTACAAGAGTCACCACAAGGTAGAGTGAGTGCATTTAGCCAGAGGCTCTCTTCTTGCGGTGATCCTATCCCATTTTGGCGCAGCACCCAAGGGTGTGCAGGAAGTCAAGGGTCCCAGACACTCAGTCTCACCCCTTCATAGGAGAGCCACCACCCTCTGCCAGACCCACGACCTTAGGTGGATAACCTTGATCTTTTGATCCTCCTGTCTCCACCTCCCAAGTGCTAGGACTAGAGGGGTTCCACTCCTATTAAATGCTAAGACTAAGACACATCACCAGCCTTTCCATTTTGTCTTTTTAAAATGAAATGTCTTAAGGGAAAGAAGGAAGAAGGGAAGGAGGAGGAGGTGGAAGAAGAGAAGAAAATCAACTCAGCACTGGAAAGAACCAGGCAGTAGCTGAGTCCAGTACTAAGATGAGCTTGGCTCTGGGATGCAGGCTGTTGGAGAGATGCAGCACATTCTGGTATGTGCAGGGTGGGCCTGGAGTTGTGAACCAGTGGGAAAGCATTGAGTTCCTGAGGAAGGGCTCCAGGAGGGGGGCTTGTGTGGCTTCAAACCCTTCAGGGTTTCCATCTTGTGTTCAGGGTACAAGAGTCACCACAAGGTAGAGTGAGTGCATTTAGCCAGAGGCTCTCTTCTTGGGATGATCCTATCCGATTTTGGCGCAGCACCCAAGGGTGTGCAGGAAGTCAAGGGTCCCAGACACTCAGACTCACCCCTTCATAGGAGAACCACCACCCTCTGCCAGACCCACGACCTTAGATGAGTTTTGTAGTGACACCTGGCTCCAGTGCTGACTAGACATGTAGAAGAAAGGATGTGTCGAGGTCCCTAGAGCCGGCAAAGAGAAAGTAACTGCAGAGGAATCTAGTGTCAAACACGGGAACTGGGCCCAGGGAAACATTCTGCCTACAGCATTCTGCCTACAGCTGACCTTCTCCCGATCAACCTCCAGAGGAGAACTAAGAACTGTGTTGGTGCAGCATCGTTAAAAAGTGGCGTGTTAAGAAGTCTGACAATCTGATACAGCAGCAGGCAGGAGGGACTCACACCACTTTCTGGATGCCTGTGGCTGTGAATGTCAGGCCCCGCAGCTGGACGATGGAATCCACCAGGCTCTGGGGGTTCGAGCTGCTCCGGAATTTGGTGAAGGTGAAATGGGTCTTTAGGATGTTTGAATACTGCATCAGGGAGAACTGCAAAAGCCAGGGGACCCCAGGTTCAGAGCTCTCCACAGTTCCTTCCCTCCTTTCACCCTTCCGAGTCTCTCCTCCCTTCCCTTCTCCTTTTCCCTCACCCCTTCTCTGCGATATGTGTGTGCGTGTGGTGTGTTTGTTGTGTGTATGTGTGTCTATGTGGTATGTGTGTGCGGTGTATATGTGTGTGTGTGTGTGTGTCTGTGTGTAGTGTGTGTGGTGTACTTGTGGTGTGTGTGTATGTGGTGTATGTATGGTGGGTGTATGTATGTGTGGTATATATGTGTGAAGTGTGGTGTGTGGTTGTATATCTATATGGTATGTGTCTGTGTGATGTATGTGTGTCTATGTGTGTGCCTGTCTGTGTGTGTGGTGAGTGTATGTGGTGTATGTGTTTGTGTGCATATTGTGTGTGTGTGTGTGTATGTGTGGTGTGTGGTGTATGTATGGTGTATGTGGTGTGTGTATGTGTGTGTATGTGGTGTGTGTGTGGTGTGTGTATGTGTGTGTATGTGGTGTTGTATGTGTATGTATGTGGTGTGTGTGTGGTGTGTGTGTGTGGTGTGTGTGTGTGTATGTGTGGTGTGTGGTGTATGTATGGTGTATGTGGTGTGTATGGTATGTGGATGTGTGTATGTGGTGTGTGTATGTGTGTGTATGTGGTGTGTGTATGTGTATGTATGTGGTGTGTGTGTGGTATGTGTGATGTGTGTGTATGTGGTGTGTGGTTGTGTGTATGTGTGCATCTGTGTATATGTGTGTGGTGTGTATGTGTATGTGATGTGTGTATGTGCACACATGCGCATGTGTATACATGCATGCAGGTGTGCCATGATGTGCACAAAAAAGATATTTAGATTAACTAGACTCAGGACTGTCTTTGAGAGAAATCCATAAATTCGTGATTTTCCACTCACTCTGTTTATTTTTCCCACACAACTTAGAAACTGTTAGTTTGTATCATTTGCCACCATTGTATCAGTGAAACTCCATAAGGAGTCATTTTGTGTTGTTTGTATCACTGTAACTTAATGCCTGAGACAGTGCTATTTGTTGGATGAATTAATGAGTACAAGTATTTTATGTGTAATGTATGTGTGTGTGTATGTGTGTGCACGCGCGTTCGTATGTGGTGCGTGTGTATGTGTATGTATGTGGTGTGTGTGTGGTGTGTGTGTGTGGTGTGTGTGTGTGGTATGTGTGATGTGTGTGTATGTGGTGTGTGGTTGTGTATATGTGTGTGGTGTGTATGTGTATGTGACGTGTGTGTGTGCACACATGTGCGTGTGTATGCATGCATGTAGGTGTGCCATGATGTGCACGTGGAGGTCAGAGAACAACTTTCAGGAGCTGGTTCTCTCCTTCTACCGCAGTTCCAGAACTCAGGTCATCATGCTTGTGCAGCAAGCGCCTTTACCCACGGAGCCATCTCACCAATGGTCCTGCTGTTATTTTCAATTATCTTTTTCTTTTGGAATAATTTTGTATTTACAATTCATTTCATATTGTGGATTATACAAAAATACAGTAAACTATTTACTTGCTTGAGTTACCTATAGTGAGATTTCACAGCTGAATTGTCTTCAAATCCTTCCATATTATTACATGCTTACTTGTTGAATTGGTTGTTTTTTGTCTGGAAAGGGTCATGTTTTATGGTCCAGCTGAACCTGAACTCACGTGACCCTGCTGCCTCAATCCCCCAGGCACTGGGGTATCAGGCATGTATTGTCACCCTCAGCTCTTTCAATGTTTTTAAACAGCATGGAACATCCGGATACATATTATATGCCATAGGAGAACCTCTTGGGTTAGGGCTTACATGACTTGCCCTTGGCTCGTAGCCATGCCATGATCTCTTCCACTGGACTTCCTCCCCCACCAGTTGTGTGAGACCTCCTTCCTACATCTGTGACACCCTTCCACAGGCCACCAAGCCCGGTCCTCACCAAGGTGTTGTTGCTTGAAAACAGGCCCATCAAAGCTTTGACGAAGGTCTTCATCTGGCTAAAATCACTTTTCTCAATGCTGCCGGAGCCATCAATCAGGAAAGCAATGTCCATATCTTGTACTGGACACTCTGCAGCAAAGGAGAGAGGAATCAGATGTATGTATGAGCCTCAACCATCTCCTGGGGCCCAGAATTCCTTCTTACTCCACAGAGCCAGGAGCCGGGTCTTGGATTTCCCAGGCAGTGTCTAAGCCCCCCACAGGGAGGGCCCTTGCCTCTTCTTCCCGAAGCAGAAGCCATGGTGCTGTCCTCACTCAGCCCCAAAGAGGCCAGGAAAGTGGGGAGGGAGAAGTAAGCCTGGGAACCAAGTAGGCTCTGCAGTAATTCAGTCAAAAATCCTCATTAAACACAAGCTCTCAGGTGTTATAAAGCACAGGAGGTAATTTAGCAAGATGGTTCATTCTGGCACCAAAGTGCCTGTCCTTGAGCCTCAGCCACTTCCTAGCTGATGAATTTAGGCAATTGCTTAATATCTCTGCACTTGGGCGATCTCTAAGATGAGGATAACAGTAGTACCTACCACATCAGATTATTGCAACATCAATGCAATTAATGTTTGCATTAATACAAGGCACGAATGTCCCTGGAAGGATTATTGACACCACTATCACATGTGCCAGGAATTCTCTAGGCTTGCAGAGCATGCCTACAGTGAGTAATGGGTGTGCCACCCATTCCTGTACTGAGACACTCACTTCTAGCTATGTAGAGCTGCCCAGCAACAGCTCTCAGCTTCCCAAGAATCCCTCTGGACAGAAGGTGTGTTGCTTAGGGTTACAACCTACATAGGGGGTCAACTAGTTTCCAGGCTCCCAGCTCAGGGAAGCATCTATAAGGAACTGCTCACCAGTCACCTTGCTGTGACAGACTTCCTAATGGAACACACGGAATCACCCCCAGAAAGTGAACCCAAAACAGATCAAAGTAACAGTTGCATCCAAGTCCAATTTAGGTTACTAACAGGAGTGTGGTGAGGGGTGACTGACAGGAACAGGAGTGACTGTGATTCAAAGGTCACTGTGTCACCAGCACCGGTGACAGCATTCCTGGAGCTCTCTACACCACTTTCGGACAACTCAACAGAGCCAATACATCTCTTCCAGAAATTCGGCTTTCATCTCCAGCAGTTTTCTAAGCTTTCATAGCCCTAGGGAGGGTTCCCAGGGAATCCTGGACGTTTCTGCTTTCTCACTTTCTCAGATGGTGAAGTCTGGTTTCTTCCTCAGCCTCAGGAGCCTCTCACTCCTTCCCAGGGAGAATGTTTCCCTCACCAGGGAAGCCCTTGCCAGCACTTGCCTTCTGCTCAGATCACCTGCCTCTTGCTCACCATCTTTGCTCTCAAGAACATTATCAAGCCTCGGAATCTGTTTCCGGCAAAATGGGGCTGCACAGCCCTAACTTTCAAAAAAGAGACCACCTCTGGCTTCATGGAGGTCACACCACAAGAGGAAAGACATACCCCATGCATGTAAACAAATAGGGCCTTTCAGATTGTCCCCGCACTCACACTGGGGTTGTGGGCTATGAGCAGGACCCCATGGCTGCCTCCACCAGCACCCACATCCTGTGTTAGCCACAGGGTGGGGAGTGAGCTGACCAGTGTACCCGGCATAACATCACACCGACGGATGCAGTAGAGCTGCAAATTGCCTCCCACACACTCTCTCCACTTTCCTCCCCCATTTCATCTGCTTGAAGGGAACCATGCGGCCTCGTTTCAGAACAGCATATAAGTGCTTGTCCAACCTGTCTCCAGATGAGGCAGGGACTCCAGGGGGTGAGTGGGGGGAGGGCGCTGTGTTCAGTCTCACTCGGCAAGGACCAGTGGACTTCCGGACAGCACAGGATACTGCTGGGACAGTGTAGTCAGCACCCTGTCTTCTCTCTCATAATATTGATGATACTCTTGGTGGTTTTTAGTGTCACTTTGTCAGTCATGCATGGGACAGATGTGATCTTTCGCAGAAACCTATTTTTCTCCTCAAATATTTTCCCCTAAAATTCTATGGGAGCTGATGCATCTCGGGTTTCTAGTCTGGGGATGCCAGCTGTCACTCCAGACCCTGGGAGCTGTCCTGATTCAGTGCTGATAGGCTCGGAGGCACTTGACCCCAATTCTGTAAACCATGCTTTGTTAAGTTTTGAGCGACATTGTTGTTCTTGAAAACGTGTGCCTATGCTTATCACCTTTTAGTTTTGTAAAGACAGGATGTACCTGACTCAATATTTGCCCAAGCTAGCAAAATGATAAGCATTGTTTTTGCTTTAAAAGATGTTTTGATGTAAAAGTTGGGGAAAACGTAGTTGACATTTGTTTTTGCTGGAATTTAACACTGGAGGGTGGGTAAAACATGTTTGTTAGTATGGAAAAACATGCTTGTTTTTGAAGTATAAATAAAAGATGGCCCAAGCTATTCAGGGCTGGCCACTTGTGTGAAACTCATCTGGTGGTCGGACACTACTTCATTTCTTCACGCTAACACCCCTTACTGGTCTCAAGACCTGAACCAGAGTTGTGGTGGGACCATGGCAGGTGATGGGAGAAGTGGAGGATCACCACTTCCCTTTCTACTTCTGCAGTGACCACAAAGCCTAGCCTTCTGTACAGTGGACTAAGCCTCAAGTATCCTGTGTTCTGCAGACCTAGAGATGTCTGGTGCAAGAGATGATGGTGACCACAGCTAAATGTCACAAAGTGACACAAAGACCCTGTATTCATCGCCTTATACATATACTAATTAATTTTATTGTTGTAATAACCTAATACAGAAGGTACAACTGCTAACCTCATTGCCCTGAGTAGTTGCCAGCCTGTATTTTGTCCATGTTTTCTATCTTTATTTTCTATCAAGCCAGGTCTACAGCAAGTTCTATCAAATGTCTTCTGTTTGTCTTTATATGTGTCCACCAGGCTTCCAACAGCAAGTTTCTGAATAGAGCTGAGTATCTCACAGAAAGCAATAACCAACCACACAAAGGTTGGCTGAGCTCTGTGGCCTCTTTTTATCTGTGGGGCCTCTCTGATCATGGTTTTCTGACCAGTTAAATAGAAATAATCCTGGCCAGAGACCTTATAGAGCACTGGTCCTCAGATAATAGACAGTGAACCCTACTTCTTTCTACCTCTGCCAAGTCTGCTTTTCTTGTACCCAGTTTATGCACCTGTGTTCTTTACCATCAGGCATCCAATCTGTGCCTTCCAGGGACATCTGTGAGGAGGCATTGACCTCCTCAGCTGGACACAATCTCCTCAACTCCTAAAGCCGTAGAAACTACTTCTCTGTTCTTTCCGCTCCCTAGAGAGACTGTTCTCGAAGTTTAGTCTGGGGGTGTTATTGCTGCTGTGTTAACATGGACTAAATGTTCACTGCTAGTGGCATCATGGTGTCTCCAATCTAAAGCATTGCTCTCAGTTAGCACCCTGTGTGACTCCTAGCTTCATGCGTAGGCTACAGATGAGGAAGTTAACTGTGTCCTCCCTATAATGCAAATACAGTCATTTGACAGAATGTTACTAATAAGGCTTGTCAATGCGATGTGCCAGGCGGGGGTCTAATCACTTTGTATACCTTAAATCCTTTCATCTTTATAACTACATAAATATTGATCCCATTTTACCAATGAGGACGATAAAGTCGAGAGAAAGGTGTTGTTACCTGTATACATGAAAACACTTAAACTAGATAAACCGACATTATGCAGACTGACCCTCAATGAGACAGCACCCAGGTCCCACCCTCCATGGACAACATTGACATTCGCACAACTGTGCATCACACTTTCTGCAGCTCTGTCATTTGTCCCCTTTAGAGAGAGAGTTTGGAAAACCCCGGCAGCTTGGTCATGAGCCTTCCACACTGTCTCACTCGTGGGTTTCTCTTCCTTAAGACATGTTTTTGCCATCAAAGGAAAACCAAGAAGTGTCTAGACACCTGTAGCAACTGTGAGACCTCCACACCCTACTTGGCCAGCACACAGGCTCTCCTCTGATCCACTCATAACCAATTGAGTGTTACTGTCTCGTTGCTAGGACAAAGTGTGCTCTCAGCCACCTCTTCAGCTTGTCAAGGCTCCTGTTCAGCCACAGACTGCCCTCCAGAAGGGGAAAGGAGAAGGCCTCATTCTCTGACCACACAATGCAAGCTGTGCTCCCCAGAAACCTTGTCTCCAGCAAACCCACCTGGCAGGGTAGCAGGGACCGCCTGGATGAACTGCAAGCTGGAGCCTAGAAGGAGGCAGGAACCCTTTGCATACATGTTCTTCGCACAAGCTCTCTGCACAGTTGGACCGCAGGCCTGAAGACGGAGGCAACCTCCATGAGCATTGCTTCCCAAGCATGCTCTTCCACACACAACTCCCATCCCTACCCTCGGCCCAGCCTCCCCCAGTCCCTGCTATGCTGCTTATGACCCTCCTGTGACCCAGAGAACTCACCAGCAAGTGGGAGTGATTGGTGGCAGCCACCAGAGACAGGCCCAGGGACATGTTCACAGCCTCTAGGGGAACTGAGAAGTCAGACACACATAGTCACACTCAACCACACAACTTCATTGAGGGGTTTAGTCTTAGCTGGGATCCACGGAAAGGAACACAGTAGGAGAGCTGGGAGTGCTCATCCCTGGCTCAGTCACTCACTGGGCAGTAAGATGGGTTGGCACATGCCAGTGGCAGGTGCACAGTCATATAATTGTCCTGTTTGGTTGACTTCCACCACCTCCAGAGGGGCTCCCACGACGAGTCTAGAAGAACAACCACAACATACAGTCAGAGAAGGAACAGGAGCACCCTGAGGACAAGAAACTACCTTCCCATGAGGAAGTAAGACTTTGTGGACAAATTTGGGGTGTTTTCTATTAGAGAGGCCATTTAGAAATCAGTCCTGTGTTTCCCCCATGCCTGTAAGGGACGCTCATGGGCTTACTCTTTATGTGTATGCATATGTAGAAATGTGTATAGATTGTGTGAATAAATAATTTGTATTTTTTACCAAAAACATTGCACCAAAAATGACATGTCTTGGTCATTGGAACACATTATGAATCTGCCATTCTGAGCCACCTGAGAAATAGTCACCTTAAGTTTGATAGAACAACTTTCTGAGATCATAAACTCTCCAAACAAAGGTGATTATAGTTAACTGGAAAATTTTCAGTATAATATAAGCTTTAAACTGGACAATTTAACATAGTTACATCAGATCTGCATCTAATCCTCAAGTAGAAATATAAACAGTTTTCTTGCAAAACACCGCAAGGATTTTTTTTTTAATTGGAAACATTTTATCACTACTAATAATCTCCCCACCCAGACAAGAGAAGCAAATAAATATTGGTATCTTTTCACCAGCCAGACAAGCCTTAATTCAATGGGCTTCTAAAGGTTCTCTCTCAAGAGGTTACTTTACAGGAAGTTACAGTTCTGTTTGTCACACCTGATTCAATGGGCATCCGAGAGCTTCCTGAGGGTTTGGAACTTGATGGCAATAATGAGGAACTAACTTGACTTTTCTTTACCAAACTCATTCTTTCTACAGAAACTCAATTATTTTAGTGTTTCCATTATGACTTAAAGAGCTTTCAGGGCAAACTGTAGCTTTGTAGCGATCAGGAAATTACCAATGGAACCTAAAAACAAACTTCCGGTGAGAGATGTAAGGATGATGGCTACCTTCCGATTTATTGGGCGATGGTGCCCTACAAAGGTAGGATGGGTCTTCTGGCATGGAACTGCAAGCTGGTCTAAAGAGTAGCTACCCTGGCAAATGACCTGAAACTTAGAATCTGTAGCTGATGTTTTTCTTATCTGCCCAAGTCACCAGATGACTGAAGAGGGCGGGGCAGATATATAATTTGTGGCTATCAATGCAAAATAAAAATGTGGGGCCTCTTGGGGCTGGGAAGAGATTTTTCCCCTGTCTCTTAGTCTCTTCGTAATTTCTAAGCACTCCCTCAATTGCTCAAGCTTTTGGGGTAACTTCATCAGTCTTGACCATGCCCAGCTCGTGCCAGGAGAGGACAGCACAGTGGCCACTGGGCAGAAATGGAGCATCTCTGAAATACTGAGAGCTAAGTGGATTTGTGGGCCCAGACCTCCAACTCCCAGCATGCTTCTCTGCTTCCATCCTTCCTTTCTTACAAAACACAAATGCAGAGGTAAATGAAGATTAAGGGTTGGAGCATGCGCCAAAGATGAACTGTGATCCGGGATGGTGAAGTCTCTTTATTCAAGAAAACACCACGGCAAGATGCAGACCAGAACAAGGTTACAGGAACCCAGCAAGCGCTGCCAGAAAAAAGGGCTAGGGTCTTCCGGTGCAGCCCTTAAAAAGCTCCCTTACGTCACACCGGATTTCCTTCACCATGCCCTTATGGGCGAGTCCCGGGTCCACCTGGCACCTGTCCCATGACTATTGGACGGGGCTAGGGTGTCTCCCTACAGGTAAAACCATAAACAATCCAGGACCCTCAAAGTAGAACAGTAAACTGCAAGTTCAGTGAGTGCGGGTTTAGTGCAGTCACACCGGCCACACAGAGAGGAGCCCCAGCTGGAGGGCAGGTTCAGAGGCTCCTGGGAAATCCAGGCCTTACCTCTAGTTTTGTCATTCTCCCTGGGCCCATTAATATCAAATGGTGCCAGGGGCCTCAGAAGAGACATGAAAGGACTCTTCTCTCACCCAAGGCACAGCAGTTACCTGCCCACAGGACCTGAAAGGGGTTGGCATAGGAGGACAGGCAGTGCCTTCTTACCGAGATCCACCAAACTGGACCACAGTCTGCCCAAAGCCAGCTGCATCCTCACTGAACACGGTGGGCTTCTCCACATCCAGGCTGGACCCATCACAGAAAGCCAGGACTAAGGAATCCAGGGAGTAGAAGGGTTGGAAGTCATCCAAAAGGCCAAACCCCCAGTGGCCTCCTAGTCTCTTGATACTCCACCCCAGTCCAGTTTGAGCTGTCACCTGCCCAAGAGAGCCAAGCCCCCTCCTCCCACTGTGTTTCCACTGTGACTCCAGGCTAGCCATCTGGGTGGTCCTTGTCTGTTTCCCTCTAATCTCAGTACTTGGGAGGCAGAGGCAAATACTTGAAGATACTGCAAATTCCATCCCAGCCTGGTCTACAGTAGAGTGAGTTCCAGGCCAGCCAGGGTAACATGCAGATCTCTCAGCCAGTAAAGGCTAGGTTCACAACCAAAAATGTAAGAAAGAAACAAAACAAAGAGCAAACCCAATGCAAAAACAACAGTCCGTGGAAATGTCCCCTCCAAGCCATTCCAAAGGACATCTGGGATCTGGAATTAGGCCATCTACTGTGTTAGCTCCAGAATATCTCACTCCCCATTTTTAGTACTGGAGTTTGACTTTAGGACCTTGAACTTTGCTGGGCTATGTCCTCAGCTCCCCTCACCGTAGAGCCGCTTGCTAGGTGCAGGCAGGATCCCAGCATGCTCTCCTGATCCTCATTAGGTCACACTCCCCTTGCAGATAACTAAACCCAAACCCTCTGGGAGTCTCTACCCTTCAAAAGCCTTTTTGCTCCCTTATACTCCTAAACAACCATCATTCTTCCTCACCCCACTAGAGCTCCCAGCTGTCTCTGGATCCTGGAGTGGACACCACAACATCAGGAGCAAGGACACTCCAAAAGGGTTATTTGTCTGAGTCCACGACAGAGAGCCATTTGAACTTGGGGTTCAGATATTCAGAGAGATGGAACCCTGCGGCCACATGCTCGGGTGCCTCACATACTTATCTTCCTGCCTTACGTGACTTCTTAGCCCTTCTTAGCAGGCTCAAACCCTCATGGACAATAGCGGGATAGCAGACAGTGATATGAGGAAGTCTGAAGGCACCAGGGAATGGAGAACCCACAGAGCTTTCTATGAGACCAGCCATGAGCAGGCTCGGTCCCCAGACCTGCCATCTCTAAGGAGAAGCTGCGAGTCTAGGATTTTGTATGAATCTGATATATGAATGAGGTCCCAGTACAAACTCCAAACTGTGGACTATTCTCTTGATAGCAATGGGACCTGCCTACCAGAATTCAAGACTTGAGAACACCTGGGGGTCCAGAGAGGTGGAACCCAGCCTTTCCTCCTACCTGGTGGTGTCTGCAGCCTCCTCTCTACACCACTGTACATGGGCCTTGGAGAATGTGACTCTCTAGAAAGGCAGTTGGCTCTGCATACAGGCATGGTTTACAAAGTCCCCTATCCTCCCTCCCTTCAGTTCAAACCCCTGCCCTGCCTTTGGGCTCTTCCTAGATAACCAACAGTCCCCAGTTAGCCTGCCAGGCAGCAATGACCCACAGACCTCCTTCCCCACTACCAAGCCTTACCCCAGCTGCACACGAAGATCACAACTCCACAAGCCATCACTGAGCAGTGCACTGGGCTGTAGAGAGCTACAGAGTCTAGGGTGCAAAACTTCCTTGAGGGTAGTTAAAATAATGACTCAGGACCTCAAGGGGTGGGGAGAGCCTCAGTGGGCAAAGGGCTTTGGTTAATAGAACAGATTTGCAAAGACACCCCATGGAGAAAGGCTGCTTTTCTGCCCTTCACCTACTGGAAGCTGGCTTCCCTCTCCCGGAAACTACCCTTTTCCTAGTTAGTCAGATGATGGTAAGAGTTGATACTAAGTGGGTTATAGGTCCTGGGGCCTTGGGCTCTCTGAGGCTACATAAGAGTAGAAAGGGAAGGAGCTGGACAGACAGCTATGCAGCCCATGAGTGGGAGCAGGGAGATCTTGGAGAGTCAAGGAGTAAGGGGTGGAGGGAGTCTCTTACCCTGAGTCCAGGTGTTGGTTAAAGAAGCACACAGCATCCTTTGCTATGTGTGGTGGCCCAGCCTGTAATCCCAGCACTTGGGAATCTGGGGGAGAGATCACTTCTTAGAGCTCAACCTGGTAACATAGCAGAACCTAGGCCAACCTGGACCACACAAGAGCTCGACTCAAAAATAAATAAATAAATAAATAAATAAATAAAGCAAATAAGTGAACAGCAAGTAAGAAGATAATGAAAATGTAAATTGATGGGCACAACAATAATAATTTACAGCTGTAGATGGAGTTAATTTTATCTGAAATGGAAGGAGCCAGACACTCCATTGACGTGGAGTTCCTTTTGTTCAAAGATGCAGAGCAGGACAAATGAACCCCTGGAGTGGGGAATGAGAGAGCAGTCACCTCTGGTGACATGAGACGGGGTAACATTTGTTAACGCAACACTCAATATTTTAACCTTTGCTAATTGGTGGAGAAGCCTGGCAGGTAGATAAACGCATGGCTGCTCTTCATTCCCTTCAATTCTCTGCATGTTTGAGCTGCTCTACAAACAAGCACAAGTCATCATTTTACAGAAACAAGTCACATATGGAGAAGCTGGGGCCAGACTTGGGCGGTTAAAGCACATGGCAAAGTCTCCGCCCTTAGCATATGTTACTTTTTGAGTGCATATGTGAGTTACTTAAGTGCCGAGTATAAACAGCATAAAATTATTTTCCTTTGGGTTGCTTCTTGTTTTGCAGTGTTGGAGACTGAGCTCAGGTCCTCACGAATGGGAGCCAAGTATCCCACTAACAGAGCAAACATCCAGCCCCTGAAATAATTTTCCTTTTTAAAAACATAACCTTATTTTACCTATTATGGCAATATGTGTGATGAAGGGGAGCCTGTGCCACTGCGCACCTGTGGAGGTCAGAGGATAATTGTGGGATTTGTTCTCTCCTTCCATCTTCACGTGGCCTCAGGGATTGAACTCGGGTCACCAGGTTTGCACGACAAGCACCCTGAGCCATCTTACTGGCCTCCTAAAATCATTTCCTAAACAAAAACTTTGTGTCAATTGACATGAACTGATGTGTACCTCCCAGGAGGCGGATTGTTTTGCTGTGTGCATGGCTCCCTTCGGGGAACCAGGCCAAGAACGGTGGTTGTCGGCTGTGAGGCCCCTTTCCAGTCAAAGCATCAAGGCTTCTCACACTACATCTCCACAACAGCCACAGTACCTCATCGTCGGTTCTGTGGGTCACTGAACGCCTGTGTTTAGAACTACAAAATATTTTTTGTTATTGACCCTTGCCCCTTTTCTTGAGATTAGGTCTCTCTATGTAGTCCTGCCTGGCCTGGAATGTGCTATGTAGACCAAGCTGGCCTCAAACTCACAGAGGTCCGCCTGCCTCTGCCTCCCAAGTGCTGGTGCTAAAGGCAAGCGTCACCACACCAGGTCAATAATCCCTTGAATGTAAAACTGCAAAGATCTCTGAATCACCTCCCTTTCCACCACTTCTTTCAGGCAGTCTGGAATGCTGCTCATTTCACACACAATCTTTCATTCAGGACTTCCTTCTATAAACAGCACTTGAGACCCCCGTTTTTGCTGACTTCAACAACTGTACAAATTTCCAACTTTGCCTTGGTTATATTATCACTTGCCTCAGCAAAAGTGCTTTGTTTCCTAGCAATTTTAGAGAACAAGAGTGTCTTAGCGTTTCTTTTGCTGTGATAAATCACCATGACTAAAGCAATCTCGGGAGGAAAAGGTTTATTTCAGCTTCTAGTTCCACATCTCACTACATCACCGAAGGGAGTCAATGCAGGAACTATGGGCAGGAACAGGAAGCAGAGACAGAAGCTGAGGCCATAGGCGTGTGCTGCTTACTGACTTGCTTTTCATGGCTTGCTCAACCTCCTTTCTTATACAACTCAGGACCACCAGCCCAGGAGTGACACCACCAACAGTGAGCTGGCCCCTCCCACACCATTCATTAAAAAAGAAAAGGCAGTATAGACTCACCCACAGGCCAGTCTGGTGAGAACATTGTCTCAATTGAGGGTCCTTCTTCCAGATGACTCTACTTTGTGTTAAGTCTACAAAAAACTAACAGTGAAATATACTGTTCAAATACTGTCAGGTACCACATCCTGCTATGAAAATATCTCCCTCTCAGGCCCAGTGCAAAAGCTGCCAGGACTCTGACTCCTACCCCATGACTGCAGCGTTATTCCTCCAACTCAGCATCCTCAGGGGATTTCGGGGGGGTGGGGTGTGCCATAACTATGAGAGCCACCAACTGTCGCAGGGTAAGTGGCACATATCTGGAGTCCCAGAACTCAGAAGCTGAAGCAGGAAGATGGCAAATTCAAGGCCAGCCCGAGTTACACAGAAGACTTTGCAGAGAAGCCAAGCACTAGTTGTAGCTCAGTGGCTCGGCACCTGGCGTTTGCAAGGCCCTGAGTTCAAGCTCCAGTGCACAAATTTTTGTTTTTGTTATTTTGTTTGGTTTTTTGGTTTGTTTGTTTGATTAGTTGGTTGATTGTTTAGTTGGCTGATTTATTGGGGTTTTTTGTTTGTTCGTTTTATTGTTTTGTTTTGGTTTTTGGTTTTTGGTTTGTTCTTTTTTGTTTTTCCAGACAAGGTTTCTCCGTGAAAAGGGTTGGCTGTCCTGGAATTCGCTTTATAGACCAAGCTGGCCTCAAATTCAGAGGCCTCTGCTTCCTGAGGGCTGGGATTAAAGGCCTGTGACACTACTTCCCAGTCACAAAAACTGTTTTAATAGTACACTACATATTTAATATCCTTTGGGAGTGTTTTTGTGACCTTTCACAAGAACCACCCAGGCCTACCACAGCAATGGGAAGTCTGACTCGGGAGTTTCCCAGAGCTTAAGCACCATGTTCAGAACTTCATTTCTTCTCTTTTATTTGTTCACTTCTGCTTGGTTTCTGACACATAATATTCATACAGTAGTCCCATCATGTACACAACATGCAACCATCAAGTTAGGGAAATCAATTAACCCAGTAAAGCTTTCACATCAGTGGTTCAGGTCTCATTGTTAATCACAGCTGATTCTTTAGCCCCAGCTAACCAGAAACCACAGATTCCTAATTCAAATATACCACACAAAAGAAAACAAACAAAAAGGATGAATAAAATAGGATTCCACTTGCGATAAATAATATTTTGTCCAGGTTCAGCGGAGAGAAGGCCATCCGTCTTTTAATGACACCAGTCACTTGCAGCAAGAGAAGCTGGGATGAGGGGACCCAGCAGCAAGACCTCAGAACAACACAGAGCCCTGACGTGCATGGACTTTAGAAGGTGGAGTTTAGAGAAGGGCTTTGAGCTCAGCAGATTAGTGGAGGAATTAAATAAAACATTAGGCAGTACCTTAGAGAATTCATCTTGCTCTACTCTACCTTGAGGCTGGTACATGATAGGAGTTTAGAGAAGGTTCTAAATAAGGTATGGTTGACTCCCTCTACTAGATAGCCTTTGTGATCTAAAACCACTAATGCAATTTCTAAAGAGTGAACATTAATAGAGAACAGCAGTTCTTAACCTGCAGATCCTGACCCTTTGAAGGTCACTTATCAGGTGCCCTGCATATCAGATATTTACATCACGATTCATAACAGTAGCAAAATTACAGTCATGAAGAAGCAGTGAAATAATTTTATACTTGGGGATCACCACAACATGAGGAACTGTATTAAAGAGTCACAGCCTTAGGGAGGTTGAGAACCACTTAGCTAGAGCAATAGAAGACACATTAGTTGCCTGGGCGTGTGGAATTAGAGACGAGATTGAGAAGCTGGGCATCCACATGAAATAGTAAAGTTGGATCCTTGCCTCACACCATACAGAAAAATTGCTTCAAGGCAGATCAAAGATTTAAACACAACAAAATAAACTTTTAAAACGCTCAGAAATTCCTCAGAATGTTGGATATGATAATAATTTCACAACTAATACAACAAAAAAGAAATAAAAGAAAAACTAGATAAATTAGAATACATCAAAACTAAAAATCTGTGTTTTAGAAGCTATAATCAACAGATTGAGGGAAATATTTGTAAATTTTATATTTGATAAGGTTTCCAAATGCAGAGCATTTAAAGAAGCCTAATAACACAACAGTTTAACAAAAATGACCTGATTAAAAGATGGACAAAAGAGCTGGGCAGTAGTGGCACACACCTTTAATCCCAGCACTCAGGAGGCAGAGGCAGATGGATCTCTGAGTTTAAGACCAGCCTGGTCTACAGAGCAAGTTCCAGGACAGTCAGGACTACACAGAGAACCCTGTATTGGAAAAAAATGAGACAAATGACTTAGACATTTCTCCAAAGAAAATATTCAAATAGCCAACAAGCATACAGAAAGGTACTCTGATGGGGGGTGTCCTTCTGTATATATGTTTCTCTTGTTGGTTGATGAATAAAACACTGATTGGTCAGTAGCTAGACAGGAAGTACAAGTGGGGCTACCAGCCGAGGAGAATTCTGGGGAGAGGTCACATAGAGAAACCAAGGGAGATGCCATGTAGCTACTGGGAAGATAAGATGCTGAGCCCTCTCTGGTAAGATAAGGCCATATAGAAACACATAGATTAATAGTTATGGGTTAATAATTAAGAGAGAGCTAGCCAGTAAGAAGCCTAAGCCATTAGCCAAACAGTTTATAATTAATATAAGTCTCTGTGTGTTTATTTGGAACTAAGGGTGGCGGGATCAGACAGAAAAGAAACTCCATCTATAGTACT